AGGCCAGAGGTGAGGGGAGTGAGAAGACCCACCAGAGACAGAGTGTGAGTGGAGAGCAGAACAGACAGATCTACCGAAACACACTGCTGAGGGGAGCAGCGGGTGGGTCAGGAGAGGTCTGCTGCACCATATGGTTCTGCTCCCTGTCTGAGGATCAAATTCATGCTGCAGTGGCTGTGGACAGCTTCATAGAGCTGCACTTTAACCCATTGTGCCACCAGGGAAGGCCCACCCATATTTCTTACCGAGTTCCACTCACTACCCACATTTTCCTCTCATCTCCTATTCCTCCTCGAACTTGTCTGCGTCACCCCTGCACTGTGGGATAGGGCAAGGTAAGCACAGCTGTACTGTGCACTCGTTGGAGGAGCCAGACCGTTGTCATTAGAATGACAGGCCCCTGCCGCCCTTTGCCCATGGCTCTGTGAGTCAGCTGAGAGGCAAGGTGTGTGCCCACCCACACCCTGCCCTCCTGGTAGCTGATCTGACCTGACAGCATTGTCTCCCTGCTCGGCCTGGGCAGGTCCATCCCCACAGCTCTGACTTTTCCCCAAAAGGCACCAGTGCTTCCTGGCTCTTGACTTTATATTGGGCTTCCCTGGAATTTGAAGTCAGAGTTAAATCCTTGGATTTGGATCTTTGATTCCCAAGGCCACATAGGAAGTCTAAGGAGTCAATGGTATTACCCTTGTGACCTTCAGTCCCCAAACCCACCTGACCTTGGCCTCCCCAAAGGGGCCTTAGTCCCTGTCCTGGCCTCATCTTTTTCCCCTGAACCTGAGCACCTTTGTCATTGTCCCCAAAATGGCAACCGGAAGAGAGCCCAGGCCTCCAGATGTGGTCGGAGATGGACAGACCAGAGCTGTCCCTTCCTTCATTTTAGACGTGACACCTTTTCAGATGTGGTTCCAAGTCCGACTCACACTTTCGGCAATTGCCTTTAGTTAACATATGGTGGCCAACTAATGGAGGAGAAAAATACCACCATTAAAAACATTTTTCACACCATCATCAATGGTTTGCTTGAAACATCCTGCTGCCTGTAGTCCACTGATCAATTACATTGTTGCTTTTCCATGCTTTGGTGATTTTAAAATACCATTTATTACTGATTTCCTCCATTTGCTTTCCCTAAAAAGGTCCATTAGAATAAATGCTCGAGCTGAGTGCAGACTTCTGGGTGTTGAAATTATATGAGGTCAGTGGCTGATCACACCGACCATCTGTTCTGACCTTTTTTTGCTCCTTGGAGAGCAACTACATCTGACAGGATCCAGAAGAGCCAGCCTGGAGCGCGGGTCTGGAGTCACATGCGGGTTCCTCATTTGTGAAATTGAGAGCGGAGTGAGGGGAACTCTGGGTGTCTGACTTCATTTGTTTTGAATCTGAAGCATTTTACCTGATGTGATTACATACAGCTTTCATGCACACTGGACACAGAAGGCTACCCACGCCGCTGCCCATCTTGATGCCTTCCTTGCCTTATGCCTAGAAATACACCCACTTTTCAGTGGCTTTTTTTTTTTTTAAAGATTTTATTTATTTATTCACATAGAACAGGCCAGAGATGCGGAGGGTGAGAGGCTTCACCAGAGACAGAGCGGGGAGCAGAACAGGAAGATCGACGAAGTACACTGCTGAGGGGAGCAGCGGGCGGGTCAGGAGAGGTCTGCCACGCCATGTGGTCACCTCCGAGGCAGGCGGGAATCGAACTCATGCGGAAGCAGCTTAAGCTTCTCAGTGCTGTGCTTTAACCCGCTGCGCCACCAGGGAGGGTCCTTCAGTGGCTTTTAAAGCAGAACTTCAGAGTTTACTGAGCCGCTCCCCATGCTCAGTGTCCTTGCTGGACCCTGAAGCACCGATGTGGTGACCTGCTCTATCGCCCCCATCGACAGTGGAAAGACTGGGACTCGGCAGAGCTCGAGTCGTTTCCCTCGGTTTGGGTGGCGGTTTGGGTGGCGGGCAAGCGGGTAGTCGGGACCTGACTGTACCCGGAAACGTGGGCACCGCTGCACTGACTCCAGGACCTGGGAGTTGGCAGTTTCCAGTTGCTGCTCCTCACAGCCAGGGGAGCCCATCTGTACCCGAAAAGGTTGTGAGTTAGCAGAAGCAAATTGCAATGGCAAAGTCAACTTTCCCCTAATTATTTCCCAATCTTCCATCAGAATAGACCCCCAAGTGAAAATGGGCCTGGGCACCAGTATGGCATTTCCTTCTTACAAAATATTTATCAGGGCCCTCCCTGCTGGCGCAGCGGGGTAAAGCACAGCACTAAGAAGCTAAAGCCGCTTCAGTCTGAGTTCAATCCCCATCCAGGGAGCTGACCCACATGGCCCAGCAGACCTCTCCTGACCCGCCCGCTGCTCCCCTCAGCAGTGTACTTTGTCATTCTGCCTGTTCTGCTCCCCACTCTGTCTCAGGTGAAGCCTCTCACCACCCCTGCAACTCTGGCCTGTACCCCAGTTCTATATGCATAAATAAATGAATCTTTAAAAAATATATATTTATCACACATGTTTCAAGCCTTCAGAAATACATAGGACAACAGATGCTCATGACTTCTGGCCCAGAATTAATAAATGTTCACATTTTGCTCTATTTGCCTCATATTTCTTTTAAAAGAATGATAACACAGCATTCCCATTGGAATCCCTTTTCTCTTCTCCAGTGGTGGTGGCTTCCCAGCAGCCAATCTGTGATGTTTAGGGACAAACTATTTAAAATACTGGTCTAGTCACCGGAAGAACCCATCACTTGTTGAAATAAGAACTGGTCAAATACACAAAACATAAAATTGACCATTTTAACTGTGTTTGTTTAAATTTATTTATTCATACAGAACTGGAGTGCAGACCAGGGATGCAGGGGCAGTGAGAGGATTCACCAGAGACAGAGGGGGGAGCAGAACAGGCAGATCCACGAAGTACACTGCTGAGGGGAGCAGCGTGGGGGTCAGGAGAGGTCAGCAGCGCCATGTGGGTCACCTCTGGGGCTGGGGGATTGAGCTCACACTGAAGCTGCTGCAGCTTGCTTGCAGTGCTGTGTTCTAATCCTCTCTGCCACCGGGGAGGGCCCCCCCATTTTAACCATTTTTAAGTAGCATTACCAATGCTCATATTGCTTTGCAACTAGACCTCCATCCATCTCCAGAACTTCTTCATCATCCCAAATAGAAACTCTCCACCTATTAAACAAAACTCCCCATTTCTTCTCCCCCAACACCTGCTAGCTTCCATTCTACTTTCTGTGTCTATGAATTTGATTATTCTAGATACTCCCATAAGTGGAAACGTACAACATTTGTCCTTTGGTGTCTGACTTTCAGAGTATGAATTCAAAGTTCGCCCATACTGTAACATGTGTTAGTCGTATTCCACATTATAAATATATCACAGTTTGTTTTGGTCGTCCATAGGTGGAAACATTTGGGTTACTTCCATCTTTTGGCTAATGTGAATAAGTCTGCTAGGACCATGGATGTACAAATATCTCTTGGCTTTCAATTCTTTAGCACATGTACCTAGAAATATTGCCGAGTTATATGGTAATTCTGTTTTCAGGAAAAAAAGAGTTTCAATTCCTTGATACCCTTGCTAACACTTACTGTGTTCTTTTTTTTTTTTTTAAAGATTTATTTATTTGTGCATACAGAACTAGGGTATAACCCAGAGGTGCAGGGGCTGTGAGAGGCTTCACCAGAGACAGAGTGGGAAGTAGGACAGGCAGATTGACAAAGTACACTGCTGAGGGGAGCAGCGGGCAGGTCGGGGGGGTGGCGGGAGGTCACATATAAAGGTCAATGTCACAGGAAGTTAGTGACGGAGCAGGATCTGGGATATGGGTACCCCAACCCCCTCCCTCTTCTTTCTGCTAAAACGGTTCAACTTCATTCATTCATGTCAAAAGTGCATAGCCATGACATGGGGCAGATCCAACTTCAGATTTATTTGGTCCTCACTTTGTATTTATTTATTAAAATAAATACATAAATAAAAACACAGTCATGTATCACTGAACGATGAGGCTGCAGTCTAAGAAATGTCAGTAGGGGACTTTGTCCTTGTGTGAATGTCAGAGAATGCTACATTCTCTGTACATTACTACATTACTACAACCTAGATATTAGAGCCTACTACACCTCTAGGCTGTCTAGGAACTATATTTAGTCTGTCACAGACCAAAATGTCATTACGAGGCATAATACACCGTGGCTATTATATCAAGACTTTAACATGTAAAGAATCTTATGTTTTAATCACATAGGTTTCTGATTTCTCCCTCTGAATCAACATGCAGGGCAAAATTAGGACTGAGTAACTCTGCCACCTGAAATGACACATGTGGTTGCCAGTTTGCCACAGTCCCCACCACTCCCTAATACTGTCCACAAGAGTGCTTCACCACAGACTGGTCCCAGTAAACACTGGAGTCTGCAGTCCTCTGCTTTCCAAGCACAGAGATATTCCATGCATCAATAGACATGTAGTTATGTAGTTATGTTTAACATTGTAGGCTGCCTCTATAGGACCTTCTTGCAGGTCCTCTATTCTGCATTGTCTATCTGAATGTTTTACTGTTTCTTCACTGTAGGCCTGAAATAATATTGCAGCTAAATAGCACAAAATATAAGCAAAGATGTATTTGAATAGTCTGATTCAGAGACAGTGTGGTATGGCAGAGACACAGTACAAAAATACAAAGACTTGGATGCTAGTCTGGATACTTCCAGGAAATTTCTGAACAACTTTAACAAGCCGTTCCTGAGCATGGCCTCCTTGTGCTCATATATCAACCCGGGATGGGACCAGAGTCTCCCCAGGTTCTCCTGGGGAGAACTCTCACTCATAATGAAGAAAATTCCACACATGTGATAAAACTCTTTTGCATGTTGGTGGAGAAAAATCCCTTCCTATTTGAGCTGCTTCCCCAGAATGCCCTCTCTCAACTTGCCCTTCCTATGTCTGTTTACATACCTACCCTCTGCTTCTCTTTGCTCTCAGGTGAGGAATGACCTGACTGGGGTCCTGTATGGTGAAGACATCGAGATTTCAGACACAGAGAGCTTCTCCAATGATCCCTGCACCAGTGTCAAAAAACTTAAGGTAGGTGCAGCTGGCCATGGCCTGAAGGACAGGCAGGTCACCATGCTCCTGGGGTTCCCTAATCCTCAGACTATGAAAGAACCTTAAGAATAGGCTGTTTTGTTTCCTCCTTAGCACCGGGGCGTGGGGGAAGGTCCAAGGAGCTGGTTCTTCTTGGCTTTCCTTTGCCTGTGGTCCAGCATTGGCCTAAGGTCCCGTTGTCTTGTGCACAGCCAGGGAGAACTTATCAGTTTTGTGTCTGTCAACCCAGCCTGAGCAGCAGGCTAGCGTGAATTATTACCTTCTCAATTGCGGAGAGGCTCAGAGAGAGGAGCTATCTTGCCAAAAACCATAGCAAGGAATCTGTTTGGGGCCCTCAAGCCCAGCTCCTGACTGACTCCTCCACTGACATGCACTCCAGAAACAGAAAAGGCCAAGTTTTGGGGGGTAGGAGGGTGCGGGGAACAATCTAAGTGCCCCTGGTCATTCCTACCGCCAACAGTCAAACATCTTGTTTGTGTCAGACCCGGCCCTGGACCAAGGATGCCATCAGCTGCCCTCTGTCCTCAGGCGGATCACAGCTGGTGAGGGAGGCAAGTAACTCCCAGGAGAAACAGGAACAAAGGGAGGGAAGAGTGGCTTATCCTTCCCCAGAGAGAGGCTCAGACAAGCCTTCAAAGAGGACAGCTTCTGTGCCTGGCTTTAGAAGATGAGCAGGATGGGGCTTCAGCCCTGCAGGGGTGAAGGGCAAAGGTCAGAGGGCAGGGCGGCTGTGTTGGCCTTGTGCTTGGGATCTGCCTGCGGAAATCCCTCTGGGGCTGGATTGTTGGGGAAGGGGCAGGATACTAGGGCCGGAAATAGAGTTTGGTGTCACTTACCATAAGCCTGGAATGCTGAACTCAAGAAGGCAGTAGAGAGCTGTTGGGGCTTGTAAGCAGACACAGTTACAACTGTCAACTCCCTCTTTTGTGCTCTTCCATTTCCCTGCCACAATGAGAGTCACTGGCAGGGAGACTCCAGATGCTAACTGCCGACAGGTCCCCACTATTTTGGGCAGGTCCCAGGTTACACCAGCGGGAGCAGATGGCAGTTTGGAGCTCTTGTCTTCCAAGGCCCTCAGTTCACAGATGGGGAGACTGAAGATTAGAGCTGGGGAGCAAAGGAAGCAGCGCACCCATTGTTCGTGACTTGCTTGGGAACAGGCGCCAAAGTGCTTCATCCTTGGGAGCTTGTGGAAGCTGTAGTAGAGACGGCCTGCCACCCACATGGGACAGGGACTGGGTCTGCCCCTGGGCTGGGGAGCGGCGGGTAGAGGAGAGGCCTGGTGCTGCGCTGACATTCTCCTGCCACATGCAGTGTCTCCCCAGGGTGGGCACTTGAAACAGCTTCCTGTGCCTCAGAGGCCCAGCGGAGTTCTGTGGCTTTAAAGTTTAAAGAGCCTTTGTGCATAGAGCAGAAGCGCAAGTTGAAACTACGCAAGAAATTAGGGCTGGAACGGGTACTCCGCTCATCCACCAACCGGCCACCAGAGGTGGGAGTGATAATTATGATGAAAATAGCAGCAGCCCTTCCTGTGCAGGGACCAAGGGCCAGAGCCCTCGAGCTTCGCTGACTCATCCAGCCCTCCCCAAAGCCCTGGGACAGACGGGATGTTTGTCTCCCTGTTTCACAGATGGGGCTCACTGAGCTTAAAGAACTCACTCCAAGTCGCCCAGAAAAAAGCAGCGGGTTGGAAGTCAACCTTGGATCAGGGCAACATCCAGGTCCAGCTTCTCCACGACCCCAAACAGGGGTGGCAGGGGTTGGGGGGCGGTGGTTCTGAGAAAGGATTCTCAGACAATGCTTAGGCCGCTGGCGAAGGTTTCCTCCTGTGTGGCACACTTTTCTCCAGATTCCTCCCTTTGGAGACTTCTAGTCTTTGCTCAGCTCTCCCCCTTTCCCAGAGACCCTCCCTCAATGCTTTATTTTAAATCTAAGTCCCAGCTCTTTCTTGGTATCTGCCCCACTGACTGTTGGGGTCAGCTTTCTGTCTATGTGGACACATTCTAAAAGTTTAAATGCATTTTTTTTTGACTGTTGGCCAAAATTTTGAAGGCGCCATGAATATCATTTTGAATGTGTGTAAAAATATGAAAGAGAAACATAAGTATATAAATCTAAATCCCTGCCCTCACCCTTTCTGCCTATTTTCTCCAGTTCACTGATAGACAGCTGTATTCATTTCCTGGGGGTTGTCAAAAGAAAGTGTCACCAATTAGGTGACTAAAAATGACAAAAATTTATTCTCTCATATTCTGGAGGTCAGAAGTGCAAGATCAAGGTGCTGGCGAAGTCATGCTCTCTTGAAGGCTCTTGGGCTCCTCTTAGCTCGGATGTCATGAACAGTCCATGGTGCTCCTGACTTGATTCTAATCTCTGCCTCAAATGGCATCACCCCCACCACCGCCTTTTTCTTCACTTTGTCTTCTTATCAGAATGGTAGTCATGCAGGATTAAGAGCTTCCCTGGTGCCACATGACCTCCTATTAACTAATTACTGTCTGCAGCAACTCTTCACATAAAGTCATGTTCGGAGGTATAAGAGGGTTAGTATTTCAACATATCTTTGGAGACACAAATCAGCACATCACAGCATCCGGCCTGCTGTTAATTTTACTGAATTGTGTTATCGTCTGTCTCCTCCCACTAGAATGGAACCCCTAGGAGACAGCCATTTCCAACAGTCTCAGCCAAACCTAAATTGCTCAAAAAAGTTGAGAGAATGCCAATAAAATACCAAGTCCAGATAAACAAAGCCAACAGAGGCCATGAGGATAAAATACTCAGGAGCAGAGAAAAATAACTCTTGGACAGCTCAGAGAAAAATCGTCTCTGCTTTCCTGTGGGAAGAGATAAAAAGGGGATACAGAGGACAAGGAAGAGAACAAACTAGCAAATAGCAGAATCAAAGCTGCATTAGAGGGAGGAGAGAGCAAAGTTAATGACTAGGAAAATAAAAGTCAATAATTTAAAGGGCAAACTTGAGTTGCTTCCCCAGAATTCAGAGGAAATGGTCAGAGATCCATCTCATGAGAGAAGAAAGCAGTTATGGATGTTGAAGAAGAGAAAGCCTAGAAGAAAAGCAGATGAATGAGACAAGCAAAATAAGTCACAACCAACATGCCCAGCCCCCAGACTGTGGCTTCTGATACTGCTCCTCACTAAAAGGATCCAGAGATCCTTGGAGGAATGGCTGATTCTGGGACAGAGAGAGGAAATGACAAGATGACCCTGGACTGTCTTGTAGTGGCAGGAAGTAAGGAGGTGCTCAACACAGCCACACACAATAAAATAACAGCACTGGGTTATAACCTACATATCAAGCAAACATCCATGTATATCCATTCTTACATGAATGATTTAATAAATAAGTGCTGTGGGGGTGGGGGTGGGAAGATCCATCTACTAAGATGAAGAATTCCAAATTATTTATCTAGATACTTTATACCCAGAGGGGTGAAGCCTAAACGCCCACTTGTTAAGTGACTTCCTTCCAAAGAGTATAGGTGAAGATGGGAGAGGAGAGTGACTTGACAGAGAAGTCTGACAGACGTGACCTCAGTCAGGCGATCAAGGCCAACAGCAGCAGTAATGGGTTGTGTTGAGGGAATGTGACCTGATATGTAGTGATGAGCGGGGCACTAGATCTCTGTAGCCTTCGTTCCCTAAAACCCCAAACTAGCTATGAGAAAAGCTTCAGGAAAATTCTTGTTGAAATCTATTCTGCAAAATACACTGCCAATACTACTCAAAATTTTCTAGATCTTCAGGAATAAGGCAAAAGGAGACATGACAGTTAAATACAATACAGTCTGGTTTCCTGGATGAGGTCCAAGAACACAAGAAGGATATTAGAGAGCAAAAAAATACTGAGGAACTCTGAATTAAATATGGGCTCAAGCCAATAATAATAATAATAATATATCTTTAGCTAATAATATATCTTTAGTAATAATAATATGCCAGTATTTGGTGCATCCATTGTAACACTGATGTTGCTTAAAGTAAGATGTTAATAAAGGAAGAAACAGGGTGAGGGGCATAGAGGACTACATATCCTATATTTGTAATTTTCTGTAAATTTAAAGCTACTCGAGACCTACTGGATTGAGCCATACGAAATTACCAATATGGAACAATTTCTGATCTACAAAATCAACAACTTCCTAAGTGGAGACTCTACGTGCGGACTAACCAGTCTTTCTACACTTCAGCTGAATTGGCAAAAAGGGAGTCAGACTTAGACATATTTTTGGCAAAAGTTTTGAAATAGAAGCATACAGGGGAAAATCTACAAGTATCTAGGTCAGAGAAAAAAATCAAATTTCCCACAAAGGTGCAAAAACCAGGCCACCAGGCTTCTCCACAGCATTCTATCTCGGAGACAATGGTGCAACTGGGAGACATTCTCAAGGATGTGAGGCTCACAGGAGGCACTGGCAGCTGACCTTCTTGAAGTTCGTTTGGGAATCCCTGTATCAACAACCCAAAACCATGTCACCCAGTAGCAGAGGTCATGATAAAGACAGCTACCCAGAGAAACCACGAAGAGCCAAGTCTAAACAGCTGTTAGAAAAGGGTGTATAGACACAAACGTTTATTTTGAAAGCAAATATGTGCACCATATAATGCAAACATAGATATTGTAATAATAATAATTGATGTATACAAATGTAAATTCCATGTACAGAATCAGAAATGTGGATGAGTTAAAAAAAAAATAAAAAGTGCCAAATTCAGGAACTCCCAAGAAATCTTGCTCACACATTTCCTAATAAGAGAAATATATAAGTTGAAGAAAGCTATGAATGGTAAATATACTTAATGCAAACAGAATTGAAGCTTGTGAAAGAAAGATAGTAAAAGCCAAGGATATCTAGTCCATGTATGGAAAACCAGAAAGCATAAAGTGTTATTGCCAACCAGATATAATCATTCTGACCATCAATTTAAATAGGTCAAGCTTACTATTAAAGGGTAAA